GTCGACCACTTCAGTCCGCCCACTCGCGTAACCGATATTGATAAGAACAATCTATCGCAAGTTGAAATTTCCATAAAACGTAATAAGTATAGACGGGGACTAACTTGAAGACAAATAGATATTCACACAAAAAATGAAAATAAGAACAAGTTCTTGGCTCTTTTTTTTTCATTTTTCCTTCTTTTCGGTCGAGCAGCTAATTTAGTTTTTGCTCTGATACGTAAGATGGCGGACTCTATAACTTTCTATGACACTTTAGATTTCTATAGAATACACCGGTGAACTCTACAACTTTCTAAGCTTAGCTAAATTTCAATTAAAGTTGAATATTACTTAATATAAATAGATCAGATGAATATTTTATCTTTAACTTCGATCTTTTTAAATTTAAATCTTCAAATAACTATTGAATTTTGCCTGACACATATACATAATGTTGCTGAAGTATTTCTGAAAGGCAATTCATTCAACATCGCATATAAATTGCAGAACTTATCAGCTTTTACTTGCGTCTAGTAGGTTAATGGATCACAAGAAAAAACATTTATTTTCTTCTACAATGAATTTTGAAGGGAAAAAGCATCTGTCAAGAAACATTTTTCCAATATGAATAAGTTAAAGATAATTCTGAAAAATAAGAATTTTTTTTTATTTTTCACAATCATTTAATCTGACTTTAGTTTTTGAATAATCTGAAAAATAAGAATTAGTTACTTTTATGAACAGGAAATCTACATAGTACTTCTGGTTGTCGAATAAATTCGAGTATGTGTTCATCTAATGACAATGTAAGTTGATCCAATTGATATTGAATAAGTAAAGATAATGTTTTAATTAATGATTCCGATAATAAACATCGGGTAATCTTAAGTGATTTTAAATTAGGAAAATAAAGAATATTATTAATACTATTATGAAAAAGAGATTGTGAAATAAGTTTGTAAGAATTTGAATTAATTCCATCAAAATAAATATATTTAATAGCAGAAGAAAGCGATGATGAATTTAAAATCAGTGGAAATATTATTAATGAAAATGTTTTATAAGATAAATCTGTTTGATTAAAAATAATTCCATTATTCTTCTTCGAAAATATTAAACAAATAAGAGAATTAATACGTTTATTTAATGACCATAATGATATTAACAGTTTATCCCATGATAAATAACCAAATATATTAAGAAATATTTCATTTGGCATTATTTCCAATTTACGTATCATTTTGCATCAAAATAATAAAATTATGTTTTTGATTTTGAACAAAATATTTTTCCAAGAATTCGATGATAATAATAATATTCTTTATTTGCTCTAAAAATTAAAGCTTGACATGAGACGAATGAAATTCAAAATGTATACGAAAAATTCATAATTTGACTCTTTATGTATGTCTAGATACATTTTTTGGTAACAAGCTAAAGAATTAGTTTTTCATGACACAAAACGAATCATAAGATTTAAAAGATAAAAGTATTGTATCAAAAATAAGATTTTCAATGCATTGAAAGTTTCATTTATTAGAATTTCATGAAAGTCTCATCTATTTCACTCACCATTGAATAATTCTTTATTGAAAAATGAAAACAAAAAGAATCTAATATTTTAATAAGATTAGTAAAACTTTTCTTCTTTTAAAAATAATTTTCTATAAACATGAATGTTTTTTCGTTCATATTTTTAATGTGAGAAGGAGAATAAATAAATATGTATATATGTGACTGAGAAAAATTTATCTTTATTCGTATTTTCTTTAAAATGAACGCATTGGACGAAAAAATTCATATCCGACTGAAATATGTGGCGGACGTTTTTTTTTTCTTCCATATCAGATTATTGATTAAGTTCAATATTGACTAATCCCTATGTCATCAAAATCACCAATTAATCGCGGGATATCGGCAAAACACACGATTTTTGGCATTTTCTTAGAAAAATATCAAAATTTATCAAAAAGGATAGGACTTCGGTGAAATAGGTTAAAAGCATCAAACTGATATTTCAGAGTCCTCCTTTGTTCTGTTTTCTCTATGTTTCAAAGAAAGGGTCGAATTGAAGGGAAAAGAGTATAGTCTACACAAAAAGAGGTAATAACATAACCAAGAGAGACTCATTCGGAAGACAACTAGAGCTACTGATATACTGGGACAAAAAGATAAAGGATACCATGAGATTTTCCACACTTTCATCTTGTCCATGTAACGCGATACTTCGCTGATCAAGTTTCGAAAAAAGTTTTTTTGGAATTGAACTTTGAAAATGTTGCTAACGTCTGTCAAAAATTAAATGAACCAGAGTATTTTTGGAAAAACTCGATAACGGTAATAGCGAGCCACCTGCCGCTTTCACCAACTGAAAGAGTAGAAGTTGGGACTTCTTTTTCTCCAATGTATAAGACGATATACTTTTAGCAGTAATCATCTTCGAAAAACACGCAAAATAATACATGAAAGTGAGCTTTCATAAAGATGAAATTTTGATTTCGCCCTTTGATTTAGATAGGGAGACCTGAGATCTATAGTTCAAGATACAATGCGCTTTTTTACTTTTTATTACATTTTTATCGAAATTCCACACTATTATAAGAAAAAGTGTGAAAACTTAGAAAAAAAATCAGTAAAATTTCCTATTATTTCCGCACGTAAATGTATATGATTCCATTTGCTTAATATTAGAATGTAATAGGAAAACCATTTGCATTGTATCTTGAACTATAGATCCCAGGTCCCTCTATCTAAATCAAAGGGCGAAATCAAAAATTTCATCTAAATGAAAGCTCACTTTCATGCATTCTTTTGCATGTTTTTCGAAGATGAT